TCAGCAGGAGGAGTCATCGTAGACCTGCTACAGTGGAAGCAGCTTCCACGGTGACGGACGGGGGTGACCAGTGTGTTTCTTTGTCTTTGTTTCTCTTCAGAAGAGCTGCCTGGGAGCAAAGGGTCTGTCACTCTCAGTGATCTTCCAGGGTTTTTAGGTGACCTGGCTTCTGAAGAAGATAGTATTGAAAAAGATAAAGAAGAAGGTAACACGTGCGGGATTCTGGGCTTGTGTGGGATTTGCTGCGAGTTGATAAAGCTCTCGTTCTGCCCTAGTACCAGGATTTAGCATCAACACACACAGGCTTGCTTGGTTTTTCTTCTCTTGGGGGGAGGAGGTGGGAGTTGTATTCTGAGTCCTGTGCCCGGTAAAGGGAGGCCACTGTTTATCTGTCCCTCTGGGGGGCCCAGGGCAGCGTGCAACCCCACACTGCCTGGCCTTACCCAGGTTGGCCTGTTGACTGTGCTGTCTCTTCTCTCCCTCCCTGCTCGCAGCGGCAATATCTAAAGAACTCTCTGAGATCACAACAGCCGACGCCGAGCCCCTAGCTCCTCGCGGAGGCTTTGACTCTCCCTTCTACCGGGACAGTCTCCCGGGCTGCCCGCGGAAGACCCACTCAGCCGTCTCCAGTGCCCAGGGCACCGGTGCGAACCCTGAGCCTCTGAACTCCACCCTGGACAGGCTGGGGCCTGACACCCCAAAGCAAGCCTTTACCCCCATAGACCTGCCCTGCGGAGGCGCCGAGGAGAGCCCTGCCGGGGACAGAGAGCGCCAGGCCTCTCTGGAGAGCAGCATCCTCACTCCCAGCCCTTTTAAAATTCCACCTCAGAGGGGAGTGGGGTTTGGCGGTGGGCAACCTCCCCCATACGATCATCTTTTTGAGGTGGCACTGCCAAAGACTGCCCGTCATTTTGTCAGCAAGAAGACGGAGGGACTGCTAAAGAAAGCAAAAGGGAACACGGAGGAGGACTTCATGCCCTCTGCCTCCCCCTTGGAAGTGCTGGACAGACTGATACAGCAAGGGGCAGATGCGCACAGCAAGGAGCTCAACAGGTGAGGCGTGGCAGCGCTGTTCTCTTTTCCTTTAAACGTTCCGTTTGATTATAAACGACAAGAAGCTGGCGGCTGGAAACAGGAATTATTCTTGTGCTCACCAGAGGCAGTTGGTTCGCTGTTTTGTCAGGCGTCCTTCTAGCCTGTTGCCTTTGATGTACATGAATGTGTGTATCCTCCACACAGGCACGTTAAACTCAGGTAATTCCTTAGGTTACAGGCCATTTAAAAATGAGTCTTTTATATTTGGGCTGTTCTGTGCCACTGTGCTGTGAGGAAGCTCGAATGCTTTCATCTTTGCTCTCTGAAAATTTGAGGATGAGGTTATGGTGTTCAAAAAATATAGAAATAGTGGTCACAGAGTCTCCTTCTCCAGCTGCAGATTCGTTGTTGTTTTGTTTTGGTAACATAGTCCATTAGATGGAAGATAAAAACCGTCAGCATTTCAATGCAAGTTCATGGCGGCCTGCCCCTGCTCACATGGGTTAAGAACCTGCCAGAGAGCATTGTTTTCACCCCTTCTTTTTTCTTTTTTTTTTTTTGCGATACGCGGGCCCCTCACTGTTGTGGCCTCTCCCTTGCGGAGCACAGGCTCCGGACGCGCAGGCTCAGCGGCCATGGCTCACGGGCCCAGCCGCTCCGTGGCATGTGGGATCTTCCCAGACCGGGACACGAACCCGTGTTCCCTGCATCGGCAGGCGGACTCTCAACCACTGCGCCACCAGGGAAGCCCTCTCCCCTTCTTTATTACACTTTTAAAGGTGATCTAGAGAAAGAATAAGGGAATCACTAGTCCACAGTGATGCCGTTTCTAAACAGGCTCTTAGGGAATGCTAGTTGTAATTTTTCTTCTGTAGAATTACCTAAGGTGGAATTTGACAGATAAATGTAATGTTTATGATCCCTTTTTGAATGAAGTTTAGTGTAATAGACTCAGGTAAATTACCTGCTTTTTCCTTAACCTTGGGTGACAGTAGCTTCTCAACAGAGAGGGTTGAAAACAGCTCTCAGTGTGTTTGATCACTCAGTTGCCTTGGAGAGCTGACCAAAATTCAGAGGCTACAGTATGAGCTCCGAGTTAGGGCCTTTCCACTCTGGAAACTTGGTGGTGCTTAATGGGGGCCTCTTCCATCTGCTATAAGGCCCCTCCTATTACCCCAGGTGGGCTTTGTGTTTGAAACTTTCTCATGCCTGTGCACTTGTGACCACAAGGAAGTGATTTAATGTTGCTGCAATTAAAAGTCCAGTTAAGTTTTTCTCGGTAAGATCTGTAACTTTGTCACTCAAAAACTTCTTTTTCCTAGGTTGTCTTTACCCAGCAAGTCTGTGGACTGGACCCACTTCGGAGGTAAAGTTGTTACTTTAGCTCCAAATCCAGCCCATAGAGATCCTGCTTTGTTGCCTTTTCTGTCCTTGAAGGAGGTGCCCTATAGGAAACATCTCCCCTTCCCTACTGCTCCAGCTGGGTTATCTGCTTGGGTACAGAGTCTCTCACGTGTTGCAAAGTCAGCATTTCCTATTTTTGAAAAGTGGCAAGTACCACGTGCTTGAGAGCAGAAGTGCAAAGAGGCAGGCCTCATGCCAGCCTTCCCTAGAAAAGATCCAAGTGAAGTGAGTGGTGCTGGGACAGTTCTTGAGCGAGAACCTACCAAGAAGCAAGAAGTGGAGTCATAGATAGATAGATAGATAGATAGATAGCAGATTTGTGGGGAAAAACACTTGGAGCTCTCAAAGAGCCATCCTACATTGTACCCTTGTGCGTTCCTTTAAAAGGAAGATGGGTAGTAGGTGCTGCCCCTCCCCCTTCCCCATTGAGTGACTGTGGCTGGAAACCAGGTGGTCATTTGCAAAGTGAGTGACTTTGTTTCTTCAAGAATCGTGTTTCTTAAGCTAACAAACCACTGGCTGGGGCTTGACTGAACACTATGTAAAAGGCATCTCTGCCACCCTCCCTCTGCTTTACAATCAGGCTCCGCTCCCTCAGATGAGACCCGCTCCCTCCGTAACCAGTTGCTTTTACTGCACAACCAGTTACTCTATGAGCGTTTTAAGAGGCAGCAGCACGCGCTCCGGAACAGGCGGCTCCTGCGCAAGGTGACCAGGGCAGCTGCTCTGGAGGAGCACAACGCTGCCATGGTGAGCACCTCGGGGCCCGGGCGGGGGCCGAGGCCAGAACTCTCCATCCTGGCTCTGCCCGCTGGTGCGACTTGGGGCAGGTCACTTCGTCTCTGAGGTTAATATGTGAATGGCCACATCCCTGAATTCCTTTGCAGCTCTTCGAACCCATGGGGACAAGTGATGTTTTTGTGTCTGTTGGTCTGTAACTGGCTATGATGAAAACAGAGGCAAAAGGTGATTTTGTTTCTCCAAATGTAAAACCAGCTCTCCTGAAGCAGTTTTATGGCAGAAACTTGGAGGGCAGCTAAGCCAGTCAGAGCTGGAGAGTGACCTTGGCTCTAACACTCATTACCTTGGGAAGGTCATTTAGCCTCTGGAGGCCTCTGTTACCTATTCTGTAAAATGAGAATAATAATAGCAGCATCTACTTTCTAACTGTGGTGGTTAAAAAAACCGTGTCAGTAAGCATTTGCGCATTGCTGGTGCAAGGTAAGCTTTCAGTCAGTGTTCCTCACTTTAGTGACCTTGGCCAGTACCAGCACTTACTTCATTGCTGGTGCTTAGGACTTTTGAAAGTATCAGGAGCAAGTTGATCACTGAGAAAAGTCCTTTAAGCAACTTTTGATCCATTTGCTAATGTGGAATTTGGAAACCCTTGACCAAAAGCCAAGTTAGACAGCAGTGAGCTGTCAGATTCTGGGCCTGTGGTTAGCTCGTGCCTGTTCAGAGGAAGTGTCTGCAGCATGCACTGAACTTGAGGGTCACTGCCCATGCTGGAAGGCAGCTAAAATGATGGCCTCTTTGGTCTCTGCTAGAAAGACCAGTTGAAGTTACAAGAGAAAGACATCCAGATATGGAAGGTTAGTCTGCAGAAAGAACAAGCCAGATACAGTCAGCTTCAGGAGCAGCGAGACACGGTGGTCACCCAGCTCCACAGCCAGATCAGACAGCTTCAGCACGACCGGGAGGAGTTCTACAACCAGAGCCAGGAGTTACAGGTACGCGCTGCGGCGCCCGGCAGAGGCCGCCAGGAAAGGGTGGGAAGGCACCTGATTCATCTCTGAAATCGTGGCACGTAGATTTCACGTCAGGTACATTTTATTTAGGGCAGAGGGTCCCCAGCTTTCTGGGTTCACGGTTCTGTCGGCATTTCATTAATTTTTTCCTGGTACTCCACAGCCAAAAGAAACATCTAACAGTTCTGCCTAGTAAGTAGATCCAGACAACTTAGGATTTAGGTCCTAACGACTTAGTAGCTGTTAGAAAATAATACACATACTTTTTTTTCAATTTTCAATCTCATTTTTGAGTGACCATGGTCACTTACAAATGCGGCGTGTGTACCTGTTGGGCACTGCCGAGTCTCAGACCTTGGAATCAGATGAGACACTGACGCCCTCAATTCCTGTTTCACATTGGTTTTCTCATGGTGATGTTTATCACAGCAACCACCTACAAGCCCAGCTTTGCAAAGATAATACGTGTTCCACAGGCACGTAGAGCACCTGATACTGAAACGCTGAGCTCCCTCTAGCTAGTAGTTCACATCGTGACCAGTAGATGTCGCTGTGTTTCCCTCGAAATTTAAAACTAGCCCCACAGCGCCTCTGTGAGCCTGCTGTGTAGCCCTAGGGCTCTTTCGTGCACAGTTTGGGAACTGCAGATTTAAGCTCTTCTTTGTTTTTTGTTTTTCCTTTTGATAATCAGTCAGAAACTCAGAAATTAACTATAACTTACTTTTTAAAACTAAGAAGTTAGTTCTAAGCCTGATGGCCCAAGAACAGTAGAGCAACAGAGGCACGAGGCTTTCCCGGTTCTCTGTGGGCCGATGGCCGGGTGCACCCGTGGCCTGGCCTGCTGGCACCCTGTAACTTCCTGGCACGTCTCCTTGGGCAGACGAAGCTGGAGGACTGCAGGAACATGATTGCGGAGCTGCGCATGGAGCTGAAGAAGGCCAACAGCAAGGTGTGCCACACGGAGCTGCTGCTCAGCCAGGTGTCTCAGAAGGTAAGAGGCGGGCAGTCCGGGCCATGCTCACACCACTGCTGATGTCCTTCCTGCAGACAGGACACGTGTGTTACTCGTGTGTCTGTGTCAGGGCTTCCCAACGGGGAGTGATTCTGCTCCCCTCCCCCCGGGGGACATTGGGCAATGTCTGGAGACATGTTTGGCTGACGTTTTTTGTTTTGTTTTGTTTTTTATTTATTTTTGGCTGCATTAGGTCTTCACTGCTATGCGTGGGCCCCCTTGAGCTGCAGTGAGCTGGGGCCACTCTTCGCTGTGGTGTGCGGGCTTCTCATTGCGGTGGCTTCTCTTGTGGCAGAGCGTGGGCTCTAGGCATGCGGGCTTCGGTAGTTGTGGCACGCGGACTCAGTAGTTGTGGCTCACAGGCCCTAGAGCGCAGGCTCAGTAGTTGCGGCGCAGGGGCTTAGTTGCTCTGCGGCGTGTGGGGTCTTCCTGGGCCGGGGCTCAAACCCATGTCCCCTTCATTGGCCGGCGGATTCTTAACCACTGCACCACCACTGGTTGACGTTTTTGATGCTACTGACATCGAGTGGGCAGGGGCCGAGGTGCTCCTAAACATCAGACAGTGCACGGACGGCCCTGCAGCAGGGAAGCGCCTAGGCTGAGCCCTGGTCTGTGTGTATCCCGGGAACTTGTTCTTAATACTCCGTGCACATAAATGTGAAGAGTTCGTTCAGGCTTTTGAGCTTTGATCTTCCCCTCTTTGGAAGTCATTGCCCTCGTATGTAAATCACTTACTCAAGAACCTGTGGGTTTACCCCAGGGCTTTATCCCACTGGACCTAACGTCCCTGCCGTGGTGGTTGTGTACATACCCATCTCCTCGAGGTGCCCTGTGGGTGGCCAGTTTTGATGTGGGACATCTGCGCCTCTTCCCCTTTGCATAGGGACAATTTTGAAGTGCGTTTCTGTCCACTTTTGTCGCCCTTGTAATGCCTTCCTCCCCACCAGCCGTTTTGGTGTGGCCTTTGAAGCCATGGAGGTTGGTTACACTGACTCGGCCCTGAAATAGTGTGATCCTAGCTGGCTCCCTGTTGAATGTCCATCGCTAGCTTTGTGTCGTCAGATCTCTCACTTTGCTTGTCTCTGTGTCTTTGTTAATAGCTCTCAAACAGTGAGTCGGTCCAGCAGCAGATGGAGTTCTTGAACAGGCAGCTGTTGGTTCTTGGGGAAGTCAACGAGCTGTATCTGGAACAACTGCAGAACAAGCATTCAGACACCACAAAGGTATGTGGGCTTGGGGGGCCAGACCCTACCTGGCACGCTGTTAGGACCCAGGCAATATGTCTATGGCACAGCACAGAGAATGGCTTATGAATTGTTTCCTGAAAGATGGCGTGGCAGACCTAGTGTCATTTCCACCTCTCCCTGCTCTGGCAACACAGGCACTTTTCAGCTGTCACACAAACTTGTTTCCCTTAGGTGGGTTGCTTTGAAATTAAATCAGTTATATGTGAAAGCACATAATGGTAATTGGGACAGACTAGGTGATGAAAGTGTTTTTCTTCTTTTTTTTCTTTTCTTTTTTTTTTTTTTGGCCACACCGCGCGGCATGCGGGATCTTAGTTCCCTGTCCAGGAATCAGACCTGTGCCCCCTGCAGTGGAAGCCTGGAGTCTTAACCACTGGACCACCAGGGAAGTCCCAAAAGTGTTTTCCTTCTCTTACCCATGCCCCCTTCTTTAAAGAGAGAGAGACAGGCTAACAGATAAAGAAAAAGGATGGGGAGCCAATTCTGTTTAGCATATAACTGTCTGGGCTGTGGGTTTATACTGCTATAAATATTTTTTTTCTTCGTAATGTTGAATTTGATTTCAGCGGATGGTGGTTCGGTCCTGGCAACAAGGCCAGTATCGGGATGATCTTACATTAATTAGTGCCTTACCAGTGGTGTCGAGGCAGAAGTTTTATGTCACTTTATAAATAGCCTTGGGTAATGTTGGTGAATGAGTTGGGAATGGAATTTTAAGAATAAATGCTTAGATGCTTCCGGTCACTAACTTCTTCATCACACACAGGCTTTTTAGGATTTCTTGGGCTTTTGCTTTGTAAAGCTTTGTTTTCTTTTTCCTTGGCCAAATGTAGGGAGTAGTCTTATCATCAGAGAGATGGAATTTTCATAATAGTTATTCTTATTTCTCAGCTTCTCTCAACTCTCAGATTCAGACTCCCTTTAGAAGGATGTTAAATGTGGAACTTTCTCTAGAAACCAGCTCTCGTTAATTTTGGAAGTATAATGGCCTCAGGAAAAGAAAGAAGGGAAAAGAGACCTGAGGGACTAGAGAACCTCTGAAAAAGCTTACTTAAACACACTCCTAACTCTCCCGAGAGAAATGTGGATGGGTGCCGCGGTGCCGTCTTTTGGTTGGAACACTTACCCGCTTGGGACCTCAAGCAAGCCACCTGACCTCTTTGGGCCTGGCTTCACAGTTCGTAAAGTGCGCATGGTGATACTGACTTGCGACCTTCAGCTGTAAGCAGCAACGAAAAAAGACTTCACCAGCTTAACCATAAAGAGTTTCATTATATCTCTTGACAAGAAGTCCCGAGGCAGGTGAGTTCCAGGTTGGTGAAGTCAGCAGCTGAGGGACAGCAGCAAGGAGCCTGGTTCTTTCCCCTCTTCTGCGCCACCCGACCTATCCTCTCAGCCTTGTCTTTGGGCAGTCTGTGCTCCTGGTTGCAAAGTGTGTGCCACAGTTGACACCGTCACCGGTGGGCGTCGTGGCGCCCCCTGGAGGAGAGCGCCGCCTCCTGCAGGCCTCTCTCATCAAGGGGACCTTCCCCAGGGGCTGTCCACCAGACCTCCCAGCCTTGCTGTGGGCCCCGATTATGTCATGTGCCCATCCCTAGCCAGCCATGGCTTTGAGCCTGTGCTTGGACCTGGAGCTGGGCTTCCTCTTGTTCAGTCAGGTAGGGGACGAGAAATGGGTATCTGAGCGTCAGGTGGGGAATGGCTGGTAGGTACTGGGTGTAGCCCCTCTCACATGGCTGTGAGAATTAGTGGTGGTGCATAGATGTTCCTAGTTCAGTGCTTTGTTTGATTCTCTGTAAGTACTTACTGCCGTTCCGACGAGAGTTCGGTTTGTCCACCTAACCCGTGCCGGAGCCTGGAGCCGTCAGGCATAGCTGGAGCGGCCGCATTATCTGGTCCCAGTGCTGAGCTTAACTCGATCCCGTTCTGACCGAGGAAGCGTTGGGCTTGCTGGTCATCTTCGAGGTGGGGTGCCTTCAGGGAAGCTCATCTCCTTGCTCCGTATGGTTTATTATCTTTTTCGAAAAGACAAATGTATGGTAATTTTAAGTTTATGTATATTTTACCACCATAAAAGAGCCACACAACACAAACGTAGCATATACTTGTTAGAAAAGCATCCTTTCCACCTCTCTTCTGAGCACAGCGCACACTTGCCGTTTCCATCGGTCAGCAGGCAGGTTGTCTTCCTGGCATGATCGACAAACCTTGTCAGGGTACCTGGTCTGCAGATGTTCATTCCTGTTGCGTCCCTATAGCTCTGCCTTGGTCGCTGTCAGGGACAGAGGAGAGTAGAAAGGAAAACAAACGACCCACACGCCGCCACCGCGCCGCCACCGCACCGGCCCATGCCGCCACCGCCCTGACCCGCCCTGACCTGCGCCGCCACTGCCCTGACCCGCACCGCCACCGCGCCGGCCCACGCCGCCACCGCCCTGACCCGCCCTGACCCGCGCCGCCACCGCGCTGGCCCGCGCCGCCACCGTGTTGAAATCATAACTGAATATTGGCGTGTTTTCAGAATGTGTGTGTTAACATAGTTGATCACGCTATTCGTGTGGCTTTATAATCTGCTTTTTGATCTTTTGCTGATATACATAATTTAAAAAATCTTATTAAATAGAAGATGTACTTTAATTTACTTATTTTCTTGACGTCAGACTTCATAGTTTCTAGTTTTTTGCTCTTCTGAATATGCTGTGCTGATTATTTTTGTGCCCAAATGTCTATTCATGTTTCAGATTTCCTAAGGGATAGATTTCAGGGAAGGATTAGTAGGTACTTACTGCCAGCCTACTTTCCAGAAAGTTTTACTAGTTTCTATTTCCACTAGCAGTATACTAATAAAGTACCTTCTCAGTGTTTGTTACATTGACTTTTCAAAGTAGATATGGCATGTTCATTTTTTAAAAGTACTAACTCCAATTCCTTTTTTGTTTGTTTGTTTGTTTGTTTTGTTTTGTTTTCAGGAAGTAGAAATGATGAAAACTGCATATCGGAAAGAACTAGAAAAAAACAGAAGCCATGTTCTCCAGCAGAATCAGAGGCTGGATACTGCTCAGAAGCGGATTTTGGAACTGGAATCCCATCTAGCCAAGAAAGACCACCTTCTTTTGGAACAGAAAAAATATTTAGAGGATGTCAAACTCCAGGCAAGGTAACTTTCAGGGGGAAAGGTTTTTGCTGTGATGTACTTAAGTAGAACCTCCCACATTCTGGGGTGGTCTGTATCTTTCAGAGGACAGCTGCAGGCCGCAGAGAGCAGGTATGAAGCTCAGAAGAGGGTCACCCAGGTGTTTGAACTGGAGATCTTAGATTTACATGGCAGGTTGGAGAAGGATGGCCTCCTGAAGAAACTTGAAGAAGAAAAAACAGAAGCGGCCGAAGCAGCGGAAGAAAGGTAGGAGCAAAGAGTCGGCAGCCGTGGCCTCATCGTGAGGCTGCCGCTGACAGAGCAGGGAGGCGTCGCGTGGTGTTAGCAGCGGTCCCAGCCTGACAGGCGAGCCTGCAGCTCTCAGCTGCATCCCTCAGAGCACCCAGCCATCCTTCTGAGTTCCTTGTGCTGGGGCCCGAGGCACTTGATAATGGTCCTGGGAAGTGTTCCTATTTAAGATCGCCATCTGATATCCCTGGTTGTGGCTTAGGTTTCTCTTCATGAGCTCTCAACACGGGAGTCCTCTCTTCTAGAACGTAGAGCGGGCCGGCAGAGTTCAGCGTCGGTGCGAGTGCGCGTCCGGGTAATTCCATGCTTCCCAAACACGGGCACTGCAACCACCGGCTCCCTTTCTCGTCCTCGGATTTCTTACAGGCTCGACTGTTGTCGTGACGGCTGCTCGGATTCTGTGACAGGGCACAACAATGAAGAGGCACCTGGCCCTAACGGGGAGGCCAAGGCCCCCAGGCCCGGCGGCGCCCGGGGCGGTAGCGGAAGTAGAGGAGGCGGAGGCGGCAGCAGCAGCAGCAGCAGCAGCGGCAGCAGTGAGCTTTCTACCCCGGAGAAACCCCCAAACCCGAGGGTGGGCCCATGCAGCAGTCGGTGGGAGACTGCCGTGGGAGAGCCCACTACGGGCATCCCTATGACTGTCGGCTCACTTCCTAGTTCAAAAAGCTTCCTGGGCATGAAGGCTCGAGAGCTATTTCGTAATAAGAGTGAGAGCCAGTGCGATGAGGACAGCCTGACCAGCGGTAGCCTTTCTGAGACCCTAAAGACAGAGCTGGGCAAAGACTCGGGTGTGGAAGCCAAGCCACCCCTGAACCTAGACGGCCCGCAGCCACCTCCCCCAAAGCCAGACAGCGTGGGACAGCTCCGTATCATGGACTACAACGAGGCGCAGCACGAGCACAGCTAGGGACAGTGTCAATCAGTGTTAACTTGTGTATCGCCGGCCCGGAACGGGAGGCGTGAGTGCCCGTTTCAGAGCTTTCCTGTTTCCAGGCTTTGAGGGGCTAGCTCCCGCAGAGGAAATGGGATGGGGGTCCTTTGACAGTTGACTGAATGCAGAACGGTTTTTGGATCTGGCATTGAAATGCCTCTTCGGTTTCCCTTCAGCCACCCTCTCTTTCATTTGCCTGGCAACGTGTACTAACCCGAGGGCCAGGGTGCGTTCCTCACTAGCTTTATTTTCTTCCTTCCCCCCCCCCAAATCGTTGTGTCCTTTGAACCTGTGCAATATGAGGCCAAATTTAATCCTGGAGTCTAACACACCACCCGCTCCTTTCCTGAAGCTCAGTTAGCTGGGCGGGCTCTCCGTGAGCCCAGGTCATTGTTGGCATCACAGGTAAGTCTGGTTTTGTCCCTTTCCAGGAGGATGTGACATGCAAAGCTGATCATCTTCACATGAGAGCTTTTACATGAGATGTTGTCACTGCTTTTGGTTCTAACATCCATCATCTAAAGCCTCAGATCCAGAAAAACGATGGTTTATTCTCTCTTAAGTTCTTTTGGCGGTTCTGATAAGCTTCCTAGAAAGTTCCATGTGAACAGAGGTCTGTTGTTGGAAAAGTCTGGAGCTGGCACTGTGGAGACCATGCTCCCCTTTGGGAACGCTCTGTCCCCCTGCCCCACTACCTCTTGCCTATGTGGCGTTTGCTCGAAAGCTGGTACTGTTCTGATTACAGGCTGGGGTGTGGGTGGTCAGGCGTGCTCTCTGCAGGAGGGAGGATGGTGGCTGGAGCAGCTCCCTGAAAAGGAAAGTGCTGGGGATGAGGACCTGCCCCTGCAGGCGGGGCGGTGCTAGCTGTTTGCCTCTCTTCCCTGTCCCGTGTGCCTCCTGTTTACGTCAGCTTCTCTGGGATGCTGCAGCAGAAAGGCTCTGAAGGTCCAAAGAGTTTCTTCAAAGTTTTACGACCATCGTGTCTCAGGCTGTGAGAGTTGCCTCGCTATAGTAGATTCTAGGCCACCAAAAAGGTAACAGCTTTTTCACACCAATGCTGACTTTCAGGGGCCGACCCTGCAGGGGGCTTGATGCTGCTCCCCTTGCACATGTTGGTCATGGCAGAGCATTAAAGCAGAGTCCTGGAGAGGGTTGACAGAGCTGACTGCCTGGACCCAGTGGGCTGCCTGCACATGCTCGGGAGAGGTGACGCAAGTCAGAACATGGGTCGTGGCAGAGAATCTGAACTCAGCAGGTGCTCCTGAAATTAATGCTAGAAGCCTAAGGATTGTTGCCTGGTGATCCAGCCGAGGCTGAGGCAGGGGGAGACTGGTAGGAAAGAGCCAGTGAACTTGGCTTTTTTCTTTCTCATCTTTCAGTTAAAAGTGTAGAAGGGTTCATCCATGAAGAGGGAAACGGCAAACTGAAATGGTACGAAACTGTAGTGCGTATGGAAGCTTCCAGCACATGAGGGTTAAAGTCTGTTTTTTAAAGTGTGGCAATAAATATTCTAGCCTCCCAAATAGCCAAAGGGAGCTAGAGCGTGAGACTCCACGTCACCATGGCTGTACTGGCAGGCCACCTCCTTGGGACAGGATTTCTGGGTGTGACTGATGGATCCCAGCTTGAGGAAGGGTGTGTGCCCAACTGCTCCAGCCCAGCGCGGGGCCAGCAATTGCCGCTAGATGCCTGATGTGGAGTATTAATGACACCATGGATGTTTAATTCAGCTTTTTCCAAAGGAAAACTTAAAATCCAATACGTTCTGGTTTCCTATTACGGTTTTATTTAGAAAAGGAAAACGTGAACAAATCCAGGAAAAGAAAAGTTACAAGGTAACTATTAAAACTTTCTAAATGCTTATCCCGTCCCCAAGCCCAGGAGATCTGTGCCACAGAACAAAGATACTAGGCACTTAAATCAAAGCTTTTACCCTAACTGCAAAAGCAAGGAGGCCAATGTAAAGAAAGGAAAAAAATTTTTTAATGGACAGGTTGTAAACATACAGGGAAGAAGGCGGCAGCGTGGTAAAGTGGACTCTGGGGCCCCGGGCTGGAGGCCCTTGGCATATACTCCTCCAGCCGGGGCATCCGTTTGCGCAGCTTTGTAACCGTGGCTGACCCCAGCAGCTGCACTCAGCTTCCTTTGGGCTCTAGGAGGCCATGGATTTTATTCAGCCAAGGCTGGGGCATGGAGGCCTGCAGTCATGCTGCAGTTACCCAGCCTGAAAATTTAGGCTTTTATGTTGCAGAGGACTTGAGTCGATAGTAAAGTTTGGTTTGGTTTTGAAAATGATAGACTTGCCAAGAGTCAGCGGGTCACTCGATTATGCTGCAGTGAGTATTTTTAAGGATGGAAAGGTGATAGTGGTAGAGGAACTCCCGAGAGAGCATTCAGGCCTGGGAACAGGCAGGGCAAAGGCAGTAGAACCGGCACACTCAAGGCAGAGCCTGTGTTCACAGACGCTAGGGTTCACCTCCGCCGGAGTCGCTGGGAGCAGGCTTGCCTCTGCTTCAGAGCTGTTTGGCCAAAAGTGTCCGTAACCTGTTCCGCTCAGCACCTGACACTAACCAGGGTCAGCGTAGACCCTGAGAGAAGATTGGAGTCTGCTGCTTGGGAGTTTTGGGAGCGTGAACCCTTGTTTTAAAAGGGAGCACTGCAGCATCGTTGCGGGGGGCGGGAGGGGAGATGATAGCGTGGTCTCCATAGAGAGAATGGGCTCCCGAATCTACTACAGGTAGGTAAGCACATGGATCTCTATCAGACAGAGCTTTCACGGATTTTAAAAAAGCTTTTGACAAGGTTCTGTCACAAGTCTATGAAATTTGTCACTGTGGAATTGGAAGAAATATCTGGTCATGAATAAGAAAACTAACTGAAATCCAAAGGTAGGAGATGAAGACCATTTCTTGGGTCAGAGGTTTCCTTGGAGATGAGTGCTGGGACCAACCATATAAGGTGGATGGGTAGATGTGACCTCCCTAGGTTTGTCAGCAGGGTTTTTCAGGAGGGAAAACGCCCAACCTTTGGGAATAAGCTGCTGAAGGTTCTTATTAGGCTCTTAGAGTGGAGAGAGAAATGATAGATAAGCTGCTTTGTGAGCCAGAATATATGTAATGTGTTTAGGTGGAAATAGTCGAAACTCTTCTTAAAAGGTAAACTGTTACAATCCAGGAAAGTGTCCTGGAAGCCACTGACAGTTGGAAAGATTAGCCCACCGTGCCACCATGGCCACAGAGGCCGGCTTCCCACTGGGCAAAACCAGGACAGTGGGAAACAAAACTCCAGACCTGGGCCGTCCCCATTTGCAACAGCACATGTAGTTTCCAGTGTCTTTGTTGAGAAAGATAAAACTCTAGTATTTTGTAAAGAGGATAAATAAGATGATCATGATGATGAGAGAGGGTCCGTGGAGACCACAGGTGTTCAGACTCACAGTTAAGGGTAAAAAATTGGGTGTTTCTGTGTAGAGAATATAACAAAAGTGCTATGACCAGTCAATGTGAATTTTCACCAAATACTAGAACATACACCACTTGAAGCCAGAAAGAAATAACTGAAGAACAAGTGAAAGACAGTACTACGTGGAGATGCGGTTTTTCTAACCAAAAGCAGTAAGAGGTGTTAGAAAGTGTGGACAGGTCTAAGGAGGGTTTGGGCAGAGTGAAGACCCAGTCCAGAGCTGCTCCCGAGGTGGAGTGCCACCCACCTTGTGCGGACGCTTTGAGGGGCCGCCGTCTCCTCAGAGTGGCTCCGGGAGCAGCCCGAGCCCACCCAGAAGTGCGTGTCTCGCGTGGGGAAGAAAGCTGTCTTTCGTGGAATGACCCAAATCGGCACGTCTCACTCTGGGCATTTTCACTGTTCGAGGTACGTGCGTTAAAATTGACCAGCCATGAGTATGCGAAGATGTTTGCGTATCTGTTTACATCCAGAGTTCTCTGACATGTGCCCTTGCCCTCCCCCAGACCACGACAGAGGAATTGATTGCACTTGATTAAGCTTTTCTTTATAGATGAAAGAACACATTGAGGTTGGGGCCTGGCCCCCGGGCTGCTGCTGTGACCCTTGTCCCCACGTGGCTCGTTTCCCCGTCCGTGACTCTGATGTGCCCGGGGGAGCGGTGTTTCCGTCTTCTCCACTCCGTCCTGCAGTCTGTACGTGCCGCCCTGAGAGAAGATGGCTGTAGCTACAAGGGGAACCTGCCTGCGATAGTCGAGCACCTGGGCCCACGACGGCTTCTGGCCTTGAAACGAGTTAACGAAGGCAGAGGAGCTTTCTCTCCCCCTTCCCGTCCCGGTGCCACAAAATTGTCCATCCTCGGGGATAAGTAGACTAGTTGAACCATTGGAGTAGACCTTTTAGAGGAGACCCTGCCCCCCCAGGCCAACCCCTCCTCCCTTTCCCCACCTTGATACAGTGTTTGGACAGGAGGGTACGGCGCTGCTCTTGGCAGCAGATACTTTGGCTTATTGAAGAGGCAGCCAGGCATTTTGCACTAGGAAGAATCAGTGATCACTTTTCAGAAGACGTCTATGGACCATAAATATATTATGGAGGAACAGATTTTGCTAAGACATAATCTAGTTTTGTAACTCAATCATGGATCAACCATATGTGGCTGACTTGCAGTTTAAAGGGGTCCCATCACTGAAAAACAAGATTTTTTTTGGCTGACTGCTTTTAGCTAAATTTAAGGAAGTCATCTCTTGTCAAAAGGTTTACATCTTCCCGTCTCGATCTTAAAAGCATGTCAAACAATCCACATCAGATGCCATAAATGCGAACTGCAAGAGGAAATGGTACAATCTTAGTGAATGGGAATTGGAATCAAAAGGGTTTGCTGTCCTTCTTAGAATGTTCTAAAATGTCAAGGCAGTTGCTTGTGTTTAACTGTGAACAAATAAAAATTTATTGTTTTGCACTACTTTGCTGTATTGACATGAAGTGACTCATGTTGGCCTCTGGGGGGCTTATAGGCAAAGTAGGAACTTGTCCAGAGATGGAAAGCCTCGGGGTCTGGATTGGTTGGTGACCTTGGGTGACTGGAGGGGGTGCTGACAAGTGGAATCTGGCTTTAGTCCCTGTAAGATCCTTTTGTTCTGGCAAAGAGCCACAAATCCTACCTCTATCTGCCTCAAATTCACGCTC